TACTGAAGACTATTCACAAAAGGCAAGCTTAGACCTTACAAATGCATACACTCTTGGCAGCTGCTTAGTTTGAAGGTTGCCCTCACGCTATTATGAAAGCAGAGAGTTACATGCAAACAGAAATCATAGTCAAAACTAACTCTGATTCACATTTATATGTGGGCAAGAAAGTCCATGAAAACAATTTGAAGGTTACAAACCATTTTTTGAAATAAGGGAATTATTGATAAATTTGCATACAAACAGTTCACAAGTTTAATGAGACAAAATTAATATACTAAACTATAGCAGAACATTTACTCAACTTTCTGTAGCAGCCTCGTACTACAAAATGATCAGTTATAATTTGCAGTATTTTCTGATGGACCTCCCAATTATTTTGTGGCTATCATTAGTAGGATAATTCTACTATCGTGTACAGTCAAAAAAGGCTATGAGCATTTCATTTAGAGAGGTATGCACTTCATGTATCTCCTTTTGATTTGTATAGCATTATGACAACATCTCTGAGGTACTACCAAAGTACAAAAATATTTCATTGCAAATGGTAAAATGGTCACTTAGGAATCATATGAATGTGTTGTATGCACAGCCATGAAGGTCACGAGAGCACCTCCTGAACAGCTAGCTCATAGTTTGTTGTTGACACTGGATTCACATTATTTCACAGATTTTACGTAAAAATATGTGCTTGCAGAAATTGGATTGTGCCTTTCCATGGCTGTTCTGGAATAAGCAAGACGAGGTTAGTATCACTGGTCGCAGCTTTATTAGAAAATGTAACGTTCCTGAGCACTGAACCTGACTGCCTGTGTAGTAAAACTGTTAGAAAAGCCCCTGGCGTGGTTTTGGCCGGTACAGAATCGAGTACACACACTTCCTGGCTACATTTCAGGTGTTAGCATGGGGCACGGACCATTCCCAATAAGCAGTTTGCATGGGACTACCTCACTTTGGAAACAGAGAGAGTTTAATAGTATGGATGTAGGTTGTATAACTTCATTTAGCCTCCATGATAAAGAATAGGCCAGGGCATGTTTAACTTACTAGTATGCACATAGCCAGCAGTACTGCTACAATGAAATACAAGTGAACCAGTCAGGGACTTATTTATGAAAAATCCTTCTTGTCATTTGCTGGAAAATGAACCAAATCACTGAAATCCCCTACATGTTCTCTGTATCTGCCTAAGGGACTCACTGGAACAAATGATTTGAAGAGAATACTCCAAATTGGACCGCTATTGCTACCTGGCCATTATGTTCAAACAAACATAATGTTTACTGGGCAAGGGGGAGTTGTTCAGGAGTGCATATTTTTTAGCTTTTCGGGTTAATAAAGTGTATATATTTTTGCCATGAAGAAAACCAGAGAGAATAAAAAACAGCTCTCAAGTGAGATAGCAGCTATTCACTCCTCAGTTCCTGGAATCATGACAGCCATTACATAACTGAAAAGAAAATTAAATGAGATAAACAGCATAAGCTAATTGGGTTGATACCAAGTAAAAATATAATTAGTCAAAGTATTTTGTGGCAAAGGCATAAGTCAATGTCTGGCTGCTCCTCAGCCTCAGTGGTGAATAGGGAATCCTGCCATGTGTTTAAAACTTGTTCATCAGGCATTTCCATGGAAACACACAGATGCGCTATCCTTGGATCACTTATTTCAGGAATTGCTGTTCCCAAAGTTCACTCTGGAGTGAGTCCTCAGAGCAGGAGAGGGTGGCAGGCTAGAAACCTCCTCACACAGCTGTTTGTTGTGTCTCACAATAGGGGCATTTGGGTGCGATAAAGAGTAAAATGGCGTTTGGAACAAGCAGAAAAAGACTGAAAAACTCACCTAAAAAAAAGAAAAGAAAATGACTGAAAAATTGAGAAATGACAGCCCTGGAAAGAGCCTGAAGCGTTTACAAAATGGCCAGATGCCTCCAGAGAGATTAAAATGTCTGCAGGAGTGTTAGCAAGATGCTATACTGAGAGAGATTTAGGTTAAAAATCACAGGGTCTGGTTATTAGAAGCTGTCCTTTTACATACCCAGATTGGATTCAGCCCGGGCATGACCTCTCAAGGTTAAGAAAATCCTCACATGTTGGAAGGGCAGGTCTCTAAAGAGCACTGACAGTGACAGCGTCAGCCCATCACAAAACCTCCAGCTACAAAACCTCCGGCCACTTGAGAAAATGTAGCCCTAACCTCTACCTGTGGTTCAGGTCATGTACGGTAAAAGGCAGATAAGGGTGGTTATGATGCAGAAGTGCTTAATCAACACAGCACATGTTGAAAGCATCAGTAAAATTTATTATATGAATAAAAGGTGCTTAATTGCTAATAAGTACTTTCCTTTTCTAAAGGAAAAAACACCTCATACAAAGCAGGCTAGATGATGTAGTGTATGAATGGTAAGCATCCCTGAATGGGGACGTCCCTTCAGTTTCGCTCTGATGCCATTAATAAAATCAGCACCTGTGTCTCTTCCCAGAGGAGACGCCGTGGTTTTTAGCATGCTCTGCAGTTTCTGCCTGGGAGATGCTCAGGCGAGGAGTTTGAGGACGTGCTTCCCTTTAACAGAAAGCTCAGAAGTAAGGTACACGGTTAAAGGTAATAGCAGATGCCTGCACCCTGTCTCTGGGCTCATGCCAGACTTTAATTGGGAAGGAAAATAAAATATTCACAATGCTTGAAATATAATGAAACACGTTAAATTAGCATTACTAGTCTAAAATACATTGTATTAAAGCCTTGAAAGCCAGAGGCTTCATAGACTGTCTATGAGTGTTTGAGGGGTCTGTTACTGCAGTGATGTGAGAGCTCCTGTGGACTGAAATTTCCTTAGGCACAATAGAGAGTTAAGCATAAAGTGTGAAGCCTTAACTTCAAATTTTCTGGCTTTGGCTTAACTCTGCCTCACAAGGTTCCTTTAATGCCTTTTTATTGTGTTTATTTCGCCATACATTATATAGCATTAGTGATAATCCAAGTAGGCACACTGTCACCAACTGGGATAAGTTCATCCAGAACTGACTGGTTTGGAACATGTCTTTAAGTGCTGCCACTGCAATCAGCCTCAATAATACTCTTTTAAGACACAGTAGCAAACTGCAAAAATGACACAGGATGGAGTACACAGTCTTACAGCACAGGACTGCTATCAGGGTGCTACTGCCTGCCTTCAAGCCTTGCTTTGAACAAGAAGTAGGTTATGGGGCTGACCAGAGGCATGGCTGTCAGCCGAGCAGGCCAGAGGGACTTCTCTTTAATCCAGGTTTTCCTGGGTATTTGAATCCCCTCCTAAAACTTTACAGGGACCAATGATCTTCAAACAGATGAAGCCACACATCTTGAAAAGCACACGTTGCTGAGAGCGAGATACCAATCCACCCTCCAGGTGTTACCAACTTTCCCCCAAGAGCGAGCCTCCTCTCTGGAGAAGAGCCCAAGCCTTCCCCAGAAGGAAGCCTTTGCACACCAGAGTTTAGATATACTGCCCAGAGCAGTGCCTTGCGGAGACACCTAGGCCTGCCGGTGGAGACACCAATGCTCTGGTGGATCCACGTGCCCATTTCCTCACCGGAGGGCCAAGAGCTGTCAGGGCAGCTAGAGTGTGGGTAGAGGAGGCACTTGCCCACATGAGCGGCATGCACCTAGCTCTCTGCTGCAGGACACCTTGCAGGAGGAGCTGGCGGTCCACTCCTCACCCTCCAGAGCCATTAGAGCAGCAAATGAATGTGAGCTGAGGTCATTGCAGCATGCACAGGCAACACACAGGTCACGGCCCTGACTAGTGAGGAAGAGCATCTCTGGAAGCAGGCGGCATAGCGTCATATAAACGCCACTTTATTCTTTATTCAGAGCTAGGCATGTAGACAGAGCCTGGAGTAGTCTTTCCCTTCACCGCCCGGCAATAGAATAAGAGCAGTTACCTGAAAGAGAGGAAATCAGGAGTTCAACAGACAAAATTTCCACATTTCCACAGGAACTAGCCCCAGATTGCAGAAGGCTTTCCAGTAAAGAGGCAAGAGTTGCCCTCGACCTCACTGTGTCCTCAGCTCCAGGCAAAACACATTCAATCAGACCACTCGCCTCCTCAGCAAACTCTTCTTCCTTGCACTTAAACAAGAACCCCATAAAGTAATGAAGCTATTTATCTCAAAAGGCTGAGAAACAAAAAGAAAACAAGGCACTTACCATCATTTCCGGTTTTTAAATGTTTGTGAGACACTTACGGGGGAGAACTGTATCGTTAGAGAGAAAGAAACACATGAGTTTAAAGGCCATGGGTATCCTGAATTAAAAATTAAATTCTGTTCTGAAGTACTGTTGCTTCACATTACTGGTAGAAAGCCATACATGTCTCTGTCTCAGTATCAGTAAGATATTGATTTTATAGAGAAATGTGTTTGAATTGCTCTTGATATATACATTTCGCTAATGCCCACCTTTTCTTCCACAAGAGCAGGATTGGTTCTTTTTAAAATATGTTTGTTTTTAAACTACTTATACTTATTTAATACTTTCCCCATAGCAATGCAATCGATAGAAAAAAATAGTTCAACAATTGCTCATTTTCTCTGCTCATCTTGGTGACTGAAGCCCCCAAGCAAATACATTTCCTTGTTTATATCTGTGCTATCTCCCAGAAGATCTTTCTTGGCGCATAAGAAATCTCATTTATTAAATTGTAAAGGGGGGAGGGGAAGATTCGTTTGAATACATCTTGCAGAATTTAAATATGGGTGTAGATAGGAAATGAGATAGGAAAGAAGAAAGAGATTTTCCTTCAAAGTATTTCTATTTAGCCATAAATTAAGTGAGGATGCTCGGTATCATTTGCGCTTTTGCCTTGTGCGTCTGATAGGGGAGCAAAGAACAAGGATGATGATTTGATTTATTAATAGACATTTCATGCCAGTAATACAGGAAGAAATTGTGTGTTGACTTAGAGAAATAATAAGAAAAATAATGCCTGCCTTTTTTTGTTTGTTTGTTTTTAATGGCAGCTAACGTACTGGAAGAAGACTCAATGGAGCAGGACATAGAAAGCCCTGTCACTATTCATCAGCCAAAGTTGCCCAAACAAGCTAGAGAGGATCTGCCAAAAAATATAAACAAAGAATGTGCCAAGAGAAAAATCCAGAGGTATGTTAGGAAGGATGGGAAATGCAACGTCCATCATGGGAATGTCAGAGAGACTTACCGTTACTTGACTGACATCTTCACTACTTTAGTCGATCTCAAGTGGAGGTTCAACCTGTTGATTTTTGTCATGGTTTACACTGTGACCTGGCTCTTCTTTGGAATGATCTGGTGGCTAATTGCCTACATGCGAGGAGATATGGATCATATAGGGGACAGCACATGGACCCCATGTGTCAGCAACCTCAATGGGTTTGTCTCAGCCTTTTTATTCTCAATCGAGACAGAAACAACCATTGGGTATGGTTACCGGGTCATCACGGACAAGTGTCCCGAGGGAATTATTCTGCTTTTAGTTCAGTCTGTTTTAGGTTCTATCGTCAACGCTTTCATGGTTGGCTGCATGTTTGTGAAAATATCCCAACCCAAGAAGAGGGCAGAAACCTTGGTTTTTTCTACAAACGCAGTTATTTCCATGCGGGATGGAAAACTGTGTCTGATGTTCCGAGTAGGAGACCTTAGGAATTCACATATTGTAGAGGCATCAATACGAGCCAAGTTGATCAAATCCAAACAGACAAAGGAGGGGGAATTTATACCACTCAACCAGACAGATATCAACGTAGGTTATTACACAGGGGATGATCGTCTCTTTTTGGTTTCACCACTGATCATCAGCCATGAAATTAACCAGCAGAGTCCTTTCTGGGAGATTTCCAAAGCCCAGTTGCCCAAAGAGGAGCTAGAAATTGTTGTAATCCTAGAAGGAATGGTGGAGGCAACAGGTAACATTTCTTATACTTTGTGTAAGGTAAATGCTTTAATTTTAGAAAGGAAAACCAGTGGCTTTGCTTCACTTTAAAGGAATCACTTCAATAGTCATTACATTTGCAAAAGGCATCAGTTGTCTGGTTAGCTTCAAAATTAAAAGCATGACCAGTTTAATTGTCTGTTCCGCCTTGCCTAATGAAATTACTGTTGTTTCTGTTCTGTTTGGAATATTGGAGAGCATTTCTCATTTTCTAAATTTTTCACAGCATGTCACCCAGTTATTTGTCATTCTATTGCAGGAGCAATTCAGCCATTAGAACTTTGTGGGATAAACTGCTAAAAAAAAGAAAAAGAAAAAGAAAAAGTCAAACCAAAACTCTGTTTACAACTAACATGGAAGTACCGTAGTTCCTGATGCTTCCAATCACCCGTGGGTAACAGCAGAATAACTGCTTGCCATATGTATGCTTCTACCATGAAATTCCTAGACTGTTTGGATCCAGTGGGAAGTTATAATGTGTTCTGCTTTCTCTTTTTGCTTGCTTGCTTGCTTGCTTGTTTTTGTTTTAACTTGTATCTCGGGGCTTGTTCCACCTTAGTTCACAAAAGATCTGTCTGAATTTATATTGCACTGAAGCTCGCTGCACACCGCAGATGTGTACAGAAAAGTTAAGGCTGGTATATATAAATAAGATGTGTCATGTCGCCAGAGTTTTGTAGGAAGGCTATTTGGTCATAATATACAATTATACGGTAGAACATCAGATACCAGTTGATGCAGAGAAAATCATGCTTGGAAATCATAGCAAATGGACTAGCAATGTTTCTCGTTTGTATTAAAACCAAAATAGAAGAAAGATTCTTTCTCTAAAAATGCAGGACCTCCCTCAGTCACAGTGTTGATATGCTTGGTTTAGGAGATGGAGGGATTTTTTTTCTTGACAATGATAGCATTGATCACTAAAGTAAGTAAATACAACCAATAGACAGGAATGGTGATCCGAAAACAAACAAAGATGTGTTGGGGAAGGAGAAAATACTAATAAAAAAATAGAAGAAAATAGATTTGCCATTTTTCCCTGCTGTCTTAGCAAGTTAGTAAAGTTTGAGGATACAGATTACACACCTCTGACAGCAGTACAGCCTCCATAACCCTGACTCATGTTTTGCAACTGGAGCCAGGAAATAAAGAGCAGTCTCTTACTAGAACATGTGTGTATGTTTCACACATCTATTTTGTGGTGTCAGAAGAAAATTGCATTTGTCACCATATAATAAACGTGTGAGACAAAAATGGAGCAAAAAAAATTGAAGGGAACTTGGCAGAGAATTTGAAGTGGTAAATGCAAGGCTTCCAAATTTTCCAGGAAGTAGGTGGTACTGAAGAGAAATCAAGGAGATGAAATGTTTCATGTTTCTGATACGTGCAGTAGGCATAAAGGTTTCAAACATCTGCATCACCTTTGGGTGAGGAAGATGAGGGAACTGCAGTTTGTTAGCTGGAACCATTCCAAAATTTCTGAAATACGCAAATAAATGAACTTGACATCCCAAAGAGCAGAGAATACTTTCAGGTTTACTGAACACTGTTTTCCAGAAAAACAATTGTCGAGTAGTAGAAGTTTAAAAAGCATCTCACCAAAAATACATATAAGATCAAAAGACAATATGCTCACAGAGCATCAAACACAGCCTCGTTATCTTGAGCCCTGTGGCTTTTCAATGTTTAACCCTTCCTCCCTTGCCTCCCCTTCACACTCAGGCAGCCTGTAGGCTCTCTTTTTTTACTCTGATATTGACCACTTCTTCCACCCGGTCATTATCAGCCTGCCCTGGAGAGGGCTACCTTTCAGGCTGCTCAGACTGGCAAAGTTCAAGTTAAAATAGTCCATGTTAACAAAGAGACTGGATGCAGTGATCTGAAAACCTGCTGAAGCCATCTGGGATAAAGGGATTACACCGGCAACAAATAGACAGCTGCAGTCACCATTTTCAGGAGCTCCGTTTTGTTCTGTTTGGGTCAGCTTTCCAGCACACTGCTGCATGAGATATGAGGGGAGGACGTCAAATAATGCTGCTTAACTATGACATCAGAAAGATTAATGTCAGGCTATTTGCCATAATTACCAGCCCAGTTAAGAGATGTTTGTGCAGAAGTAGCCGCTTGTTTTGTGTTTTGCCCACATCCACAGGCTTATTTTTGTTGAAGATGTGACCAAGCCAACTTCCTATCAGAACTACCCGTTTTCCTTTCTTACATTACAAATATTTTCCAGATAAATTCTGGCAAACACTGAAGGCCAATTTAGGCCATCATATATTCACACTTTCTTCGTACACTAGACGTAGGGTGAGAGTAGAAACAGAAGTTGCTCATAGCAGCAATCTCCAGCAACAGAGAACAAGCAACGTGCTACCCATCACATCTTCCAACATTGTTCAAAGGCATAGGATACAAAAATATTAAAGCTGAAGCTAAGGAACTGTCACCTTGCCTATAGCAATGTTATGGTTCAGTATCGTTCCCCATGGGTCAAAAACAGATGGAGACCTTTAACTTCGGCTATTTGTCAAAAGAAGTCACTCCCAAGCCTGACCAGTGAAAACAGTCCTTTCTCAGCTTTCAGAACTTCCCCACTCTGACACCACCTATCCCTTAAATGAGAACGGAAAATGCCAGGTATAAGCACTTGCTGGTATTTTTATTGATTATTGGTTTTGTTCGCTTTAAAGTTTTACTGAGCAAGTGATACCATTTTGATAGCATCTAATACTTTCCACCTTAAGAGATCCAAAAGCACAGCTACCCCTAGTACGAGATACAACTGCTTGTGCAGTGCCACATGAACTTTGCACTACATGTTAGGAGAGGAATTAAAGAATAATGCATCTTATTAAAGGAAATGGAGGGAATGAAGATAATATTAACATAATTAACTAAAATGAAATTTAACAAAAAGGTTGAACCAATGACCTCCTACTTCCTCCTGAAAGCATCACCATATTTTTGTGAGATGCAAAGAGAGAGGAGCAGATATGTCTCTAGTAAGGCATATACCAAAATATCAGCCTAGGGAATATCACTCCACCTTCATTATTCACATTTATTCTATCATGAAGATTATTTTTGATGGCAGAAGCTTCACCAAGGCACCTCCAACAAGACATGAAGCCAGTCTAACTACCTCATACAGCATCAGCAAGAACTCAAAATGACACTGGTTTTAAAAAATGTGTATTATGGATCCTTCCAATAGGTGATTTTCCATATTTGTTTACAATAACATTAAAAACTATCCCTCTAGGTTCAAAGGATAATACTCTTGCAAAGGTTTACTCCTGTGACTGGATGTGCATCTCTCAAGTGCCTGAAATCCCAATGGCAGAGGAGCGGTTTTGGTCTTGTTCTGTACAGTTCACATGTGACGTGTTACTGTAGTCCCCACCACAGAGCACTGGTGGCTCAGCTAAAGACACAGCAGCTCCCACTTCTAGTTTTGGAGGCCTCTATCACCATCCCTCATGGGTACGAGATGAGGTCAGCTCAGCACAGCCCTGCACTGTGAAATAAGTCAAGCTACTGCGAAGCAACTGAAGAGCCTTCAGGAAGGGGAGTGGGCAAAAGTCCAACCAAAAGTGGTCTTATCTGAAGGACATACTGGTTACTTGCACCTTCTACAGCTCTTCTTCCATTTTATGCTATGCTAATAGCAGATAGGAGTGCAAGTGAGAAGTGAGAACTCATATTAACTCTGTAACACCTAGAAGTGCATTCGCCTTTAATGAGGAAGCCATTTCTGAGGCACTTGCGCTCTTTTTGTATCAGAATACCCCAGTAGCATAGAAAATATAGCTCCATACTACTGAAGACTCTGGTCCCAGAGTCACCCAGCCCTGAAAAGTAGGATTCTAGCATCCCTCGGTCTCCTTAACGGAGAGTCGCAACATTAAGGGCAAATGTACTAACAAGAAAGAACAGGACTAACACAAAAATTCCAAGTTCAGCAGAATCTGATGTTTGACATTCAAAATATTTGGTTTGTGTTAAAGTGACAACACTGCTTTCATACTATTTTATGGAGACCAACTAAATGATTTGTTGGTCTGGGCACATTTATTGTAAAGGAAGTTGAACAGATGATTACTGTCCTTGGACCAACAAAAAAAAAAATTAGGCCTAAGGAGTCTGAAACCTGTCTCCCCTAAACAGCACTCACAAAAACTTAGATTTTCAGGTCTTATTTTTCTTTTTTTTTTTTTTTACACAATTTGCAATTAACATATTTTATCATATTTTTAAGACCCTCTTCCTAGCCATATACTTGAAAATTTTAAGCCCTTTTCTCCTGGTGATATCCATTTTTAAGGGAGGTCTTACGGTCATAAGCAAACCAGTCATTTAAAAAAAGTAAAACAATTTCCAAATGTATAATTCTGATACAGGGAAAAAAGACAAGGCCAAAATAAAAACTAAAATCACTTGAATCCGGGGAAATGAAGTGGGGAAGTGAGATATGTTAGGGGAGAGAGAAACTGAGAAACTGCAAGAGAGAGAGAAAGTAAGATTTACAAAAAAGAGGAGAAAGAGCAGTGTCCTGGAACAGCCATAGCCTCCCTGGCAACGCATTTCCTGAATTGTCAGTAGCCAGGTTCAAATCCCTGTTCTGAGTCTGAATTAATTTATAGAAAAAAGCATTTTTCAAGACATGAAAGTAATAGAAAATATTTCAACTTACTTTAGCCAGCAAGACCCTCAAACTCTGTTAAGTTTTATCTGGCCAGTAGGGTGCAGTAGATGACACTCTGGCAATTCCCTCTCCCTAAAAATAAAAACGTGAGAAAAGAAACAGTATCTGAGGAAAAGAAATGGTGTACAAGTTTACAATTATCAAAAATTAAGCAACAAAGCTAGATAGATACCTTTATGTTCGTATACTTAATTTTACAAATAAACTTGTAATGCGGTGCATTTCTCTTTCTGACACATGGGCAGCTTGAGAGCGCAGTATTTGCA